CAAAAATTGGGTGGTGGAAACATCACCCGAAACAAGGGAAGCAATATTGAGCAGAGGCAGATTGTTCCTCGGCTGGCACACCTGTCGCGTACGTGACTACGTCGTGGCAGGCAGGTGTTTCCGTTGTCAGGCGTTTAGCCACATAGCCAAACATTGCTGGGCAAAGGTAGACACCTGCGGGCATTGTGCTGCCGAGGGTCACTGCTACAAAGAGTGCCCAAATAAAGAGAAAGGACCCTCATGCATAAATTGCAAGAGGGCAAAGAGACCGCATATAAAAAGGCAATAGAGACCCTAGTCTCCAAGACAGACTACGGGGACTAGAGAACCGAAAGATGGTGATAATCCACCCGAACGACGGCGCGGGCATAACGACCTCAGGGAAATTATGTGTTGGGAGGGTGTGATCGCAACTTGTTGCGATCAAAACTCTTACAGAAGCTTGTCCTGTAAGCCCGCTAGAGACCGAATGCGACTCAGCCTCCTCGTGGTCCCCGCTGGTAACGTCCTGGACGGTAATATTCCGTCTCGGCGGGTATTATCGGACAAGGCGGCTAAATGAGTCACGCCCCGCGAGGGGCGGTCTTCTCTTCTGATGATCCTGCGGGTGAAGGAGAGGTTATTCCAAACACAGGCATCGCACAGGCGCCGGCTGTGCGTTGCTCCCTTGGCGGGGGTTCCGCCAAGGAAGTGGAGGCCCATCAGGCTTCTCGTTGTGACTTGTCACATGCCGATATGAGTATAATCTCGAGGTGCGGCATGCCCTACTTCAGGGTAGCGAAATACCTTCTGCTACTGGACACGTCGAGGCTGGCTACGGAAACCCAACAGGATCTACTGGGCGGACAATTCAGCGGATGTACTACTCATTGCGATGTACAACATTTGTCTCTTCAAGGATGCGAACGTGCCAGTGAAGTGGTATTTTGTATTCATCTCACGCTCGGGCAGGAGGTGTACGCGGGGAACTGTCCAACGAAAATCTTAACTGGTATTTCCAACCCTCGGTTACAGTGGAAGGAGAAGCAACCGGGGAGTTCCAAACATGAAGAGGATCACAACGAGGGAAGTCATCGAGTTGGTAAGGAGGGGGACCCGGGTGATGTCGAGGGGCGAACATCCCTACCCAGACCTATTGGTCTGAGGGTATTCCCTCTCCACGGCTTCCAACAAATACCCTAACAAGACTTCAGCAATACAGAGCGCCACTAACAGGAAGGATTCTCCTGGAGTTCAGGAACGTATTCCGAGAGACGTTAGGCGTATGACTGCGCACATCGGATGGAAGGAGCTTTCCTGTCCTGGAGGGTGGGTCGATGATAGGGAATAGTAACCAGAAGAGATCCGTCGTGTGAAAAACCAAGAACGCGGTTCATTCATCTGGTGCGCAATTGGAGCAACTGGATGTAGCATCCCCGGTGCATGGCACGACGACGGAGAAATACCAGTCAATTACGAGCACGACCCTTAAAGACAATCCAGTTTTTCATTTTACCCAAGTGTCGAGGCAATATATTAAAAGGCGCTATCAGAATGTGGAACATTCGAGCTTTCCACAAATATGTGACGTCACATACCGACAGCTGTGAGAATTTGCAACTCGTCTATCCAGGAAGATGCCATATGCCGCGTTTCATCGCACGAAACCTCAATCAAGAACCCCGTTGGCAAGGCGAAGAGATGCCATGTATATCGAGGGAGATGATTGTTCCGGGGACAGTGGCTGAATATCTAGCCTTCATTAACCCTTTTAGTGCCAGGCGAAAAACGGGTGCCTGTGCGAAGATAACCGGACGAATTTACTGAGGTTTGGAAAAGCTCATAACAACCAAACTAAAAATGATATTTACATAATTCAGAAAAAATTATTGCAATGAAATTAAACCATTCGTAACGTTTTATAAATTTATTTTGAAATAGAGCTCTGCCACAATGCGAATAGTAAGGCGTTATTGAAGGCGCAACAATATATCGTCGTACGGTACTAAAACGTCACTCCTTCCGGTAATATTATTCGGGTGAATATACCGGAAGGTGTAGTACTCGATATAGGTACGGAACGCAATAGATTGGTTATTCCGTTGGGGACCTTTGGACCCTGTGAGTCCGCCACACACAATGTTTACGAGTGTAACATTGCTCCCTTTATCACTATGCAGAATATCCTTGCACAAGCAGAGAACCGGGATGGCCATCGCTCTCTGATGGTTTTGTACCTCACGGCGCTTTGCCCAATAGTAACCTGCTCGGGTAACTGCCTTTTATATCTGGATCTTCCAGATGCCCGCTCTCTGTTGTCAGAATACAAATTTGCGGTCGATTTTTGTTTAATTAATTCTTCGTAATTGTACAAAATGAAACGAACCGGTCAGATGACCAAATCTATGCCTGATGGAAATCCTCAGATGACCCGGGACCAAAGGCGGATGCGAGAGTATAATTAGCGTAAATATGCCGCGGCGCCAACTCCCAAGAAGTGAGCTGACTGGTACTCTGACTGGGGCCTTAGGAATCCCGGTCCAAAGAAGGCCACCGGAAAGCAAACAGCAAGGTCGCAGTCATGGAAGACGGGGAAGCGCCCTGTTAAGGCATTACCAAAGCCAAAACTGAGTCACTTCAAGATGAACCTCTGTGGCAGGATGGTCCCTACGCCTACACGCTCGGATTTACAGCCACAATCTTGAATTTAGTTCTTTTCCGCTTCTCTGCGAGCGTGTATATGTAGACCTGGAGGCTGAGAATCCGCGCATCCGAAGGGAAATGCCGTACCGTGCGTTCCAGCACGTCATGACGAGCGTGTTAAATGCCACGATTATAGATCACGTCCGAACAGTTAACGCGGAAGACCGCTATGCGGACGAAGAGTCTCCAATTAACCTGCTACCCGAAGATTTAACTATACCGGAGCCAATAGCAGCTTATTTGAAGATGATCTCCAATTCCACCACACCATCCGGTGATCTCGTCAAGGCTAATATTCCGGATGCTGCTGTACCCAAGACGGCCATTGAGCAGCAGAATAGGCCCGATCTGCCGTCTGGAAGCTTTGGGGTTTGTAACGCTGCGAACCACAATGCATATGAGTGTTACGTAAGTCCACTCGTAACGTCGCGTTACGTTGAAGCAACACGTACGCAAAACCAAAACCACGAATATGGAGCGTGGGAGCCGCTGCCCGAAGAACTTCGGCCGGCCAAAGCAGTGCCCACTACCAATTTGTTAGGATACCGGCCTAATGTGGAACGCCTCAACGCCGAAGGGCTGCAGTGTCTCATGGATTTTGAGTTTCCCACGGGACATGACATGCAGTCAAGAATCCGTTGGAGTCCGGAGCTAACAGCCAAAGTCTCCAGTGCTCTTCGGAGTATGGAGGGTAAATATAAGATGCATGTAGGCATCCCCTCACATGGTACCAACACAGCAATTTTTGGCTGGTTGAAGACGGAGTTGTGCGGTGATACGGCCCAGTTGGTGAATACCCGACGGGTGACAGCTTATACATCGCCCGTAGGTTACTAGGTGGGGACGTTCGATCTGAAACGCCTGAGGACGACGTCATGCCGTGGATTCTGCTGCGTGACTGAAAACGATGGCGCGTTCCCTGGATGGTTGGCTACAATGAATGCCAACTTCGAGATGGCGGCCCCGTTTCAGCCTACGATTGGGCAGGACTTGCCACTACTCCGGCAAGCGCAGCATGTCTCTGCCACCCCTAAGGGTGATAGGTTGACGGCGATAACCACTTGGCTCCGCCGCAACTATATAATCAAGAAGTAAGGCATGCATTTTTGCATGTTTCCTTAGTTACTAGGATGCCCGTTCGCGGATGTATTGTTACCCATCTTTGTCTATGTCCTGCACTCATCAACGACAACTTAAAACTCGCCATATTTAATCACAATACTGAGCACTTTTGTAATCACAATTATCCAGAATATAATTCAGTTATATTAGAAAACGTCGTGATTCTCCAAGACCCTTAATTATCGTCCAAAATCTTAATCAACCGATTGAACGTTTTCACACAGATACAATCTTACCGCTCCGATTGTATCGAATAATTACAATTACATAGTGTTACAAGGCCTAATAACATTCCTAGTGAGAATCTGATTTCGTATAAAGTTCGTTCGCAATGACACTTACTCCGAAAGACCAGTGATTACTCCCACCCCAGCGACTCTCCAATTTCGCATTGGGATCATCCACGAAGTTATACCATCCTAGTGGCTCCCCAATTTCGCATTAGGTTCGCCCGCGAAGTTATACGCCATCCTCCCAGCAGCTCCCAAACTTCGCACTGGGTTCGTCTGTGTGTCTCTTTTAGTGGCCCTCAATCTCGCATTGGGCCTGTCCACGAGTTTCAGTCTCTTGCAGCTATCTGATTTCGTATCAGGCTCTACTGCGCGTAGCTCCAAACCTCAGAAGTTCTCTAATTTCGCATTGGATTCGTCCTCGTCGTCTATAATCCTAGCGGCTTCCCTGTCTCGCATTCGGTTCGTCTGCGCATCTCATTAACTAACTGACTCGGATGGCCCGCCGATGTCGTTCCGGTGGATGACACGCTGCCACGGCGGTGCCACGTCATCCTTAATCGAGTATCAAGTTGAATCCGTCCCAACCGCGTCCTCGCTATCGACTAAATCTTTCGCCACACGCAAAATATAAATGAGAGATGTAACTCTATCATTTGGCGTTTTGCTGTAAAGCATCTACATTCCAGGCTGGAAATTGTCGAAATCTCGGCATACTGATCTGGATATATTTTTAATGAAGCATTTTCCTGCCATTTTAATGATAGCGTAGAATTTGGAGCTGGTTATTGGGCGCTAATGTTGAGATCTTGCAGTGAATCGAGACGAGGATTGCTTACATCGGCAAGAGCACCAAAATCTTATCGCTACAAAAGAGGCTCGACAGGCTGGCAGACAAGAACGATTGCAAGAAAATACATTCTTTGAGGAAGAACAAGATTTATTATATGGCCCGGGAGTAGTAGATTAGTTACGACAGCTGTAAGTATGAATACAGTACAATGTTTCTTGAAATAAACTTCCGTTTCTTGATTAAACACGTTTTTCTTAAAACCACGTTTTCAAAATTTACAGCAAGGATAATTTAAAAATTGTTTGGTCAACCCCAAATCTTGCACATGCCTTTTGTAAAATATTCAATTCTTTTACAACAGCTTAGGTTCATATTCTTAAAAATGTCTACTAGATTGAACAAAATTTTTATTTCTTCGTTTCAGATAACTACCAGAGATGTTACAATTGCTGCAGTTTTATATCGTCAAGAAAAAAAACACATTTACAATACTGCTATAATTCTTCTATGTTTATCATAATTACAGTGTCACAACAATATTTTTGACTTATTAGAATATTAAATAAAGTGTACTGAAAGATTCGAAAAATTGTTCCTTATGCAAAACATTCCTGAAGTTTGACAAAAATATAAGCCGTTTACAGGGTCCTTTCACCTTAACCCTTTGACCTGCAATGTCGTGTCAGACTCGTGACGAACATTTTAAACTGAATTTAACGAATCTAAGTGTTATTTATTTTTCCTTTTTAATATAAACTAAATATTACTTTTCTATTATCAATCATCAACCTTCGAAATAAACGTGAGCATAGAACAAATATCAATATTTCTACTTTTCCTAACTAATTATTAACGATAAAATAGTTGTTAAGCTAAATATTTCACATTTCCACTACAGTAAATCGAGTAATATGTTAGTAAAAATGTGTAATATGTGTTTTAAATTCGTCTCGATGTCCTCCACATGAATAATAAAATTACTTAACCAAATTCTGTACTCATTACAAACTCCTCAGAGTTCGATCAAATGAACTTCGAGTTGTATGTGCTTTAACGCGTGGCAACTACTATTACCTGTTGTTGAAGAGCACAGCATAAACCTTGCACCGAACTACATTCTAAAATTCTATTCTTAATTGCGCAGTCATTATAAGATTTTTACAATCAGTTCTATTTAAAGAATTAATCATTATTAACATACAATCTTCAGTCACTCTTAACGTCTAACCTTCGTTGTAAACATACCGTAATGTTTTTAGTCCCAAGGGATTGCTGCTTATCTATTGGAAGATAATATTAAAAATCTAAATAATTGAACCATTTCCAGCAATTAAAACCGTCACTTGGGAAGACAATGTTTTTGGAATCGATAGATCCACTCTGTAAGATCACATATATTTTCTTATTTCGCTTCCTCTATCACACTAATATTCTGCTGTTGCAGCGATGTGCTATTTAAAAAGGTAGACGGAGCTTTTCTAACCTTTTCACATAATACATTAAGTATTCCATTCGGGGGGTTGTTTTTGATAAGATTGTTTAAATATTTTGTTCTGTTTCCTGACTCATCAAAACAAAGGTCATGCAATTTTTCAAAGGTAGTACAAATATTAAGTCCTAATCTATCTAATATCTGTGATAAATTTTCTGGTGTAAAGAGTTCTTTCTCAACTAAGAAGTGATTTAAATAATTTTTTTCATCAAAACAAGATTGATGAAAACTTACTAAAATAGTAACAGCATTATTTCCTGCCATGTATAATATTTTGGACAAAGTACTCGGTCTAAATCCTGCACTATAAAAATCATCTAAAAGCTGTGTATTATTTCCTTTTCTATCAAAACAAACATTATGAAAATCTTGTAAAGCAGAACAAACATTAGCTCTTGAACCATGCAGAATCCTAGATAAATTACTAAGAGTAAAACCGCCTCTTAAGAAATTACTTAAACACTTTCTTGTTTGTTCTATAGAACAAAAATCATGAAAATTTACCAGACTATCTATTGCTCCACTTAATATATTGCTTAAATTACTAGAACTGAAACCTATATTATGGAAATCATCTAAAAATTTTGTTTTTTCTCTTTTTTCATTGAAACAAACACTATGTAATTTCTCGAACGCAGAAGAAGCATAAACTCCCTTTCCACATAACAGACAGGCAAGGTTACTTGGTTTAAAACCAGCATTATAGAAATCATTTAAAAATTCCGTTTCTTTTCCTTCTTCATCGAAGAAAACACTATGTAATTTCTCAAAGGCATCTTTAGCTTTTGCTCCTGATCCACTTAAAATGCTTGATAAATTACAGATCATAAAACTTTGTCCATCTCTTTCCTCAATAAAATGCTTTAAACGCTGTTTTTTATTTCCTTGCTCATCAAACCATACATGATATAAGTCTTCAAAGGCTTTTGCAGCATTCGATCCTGATCGATACAAGATATTGGACACAGTCGTTAGAGCTATTTCTTCTGTTTCCAGAGTTTTTAAATACTGAGTTTTATTTCCTTGCTTGTCAAACCATAGATCACATAATTCTTTAAAGGCTTTTGCAGCATTCGATCCTGCACCATTTGAAATACTGGACACAGTGGTTAGAGTTATTCCTTCTTTTTCTAGAGTTTTTAAATAATGTGTTTTATTTCCTTGTTCATCAAACCATAGATCATGTAAGTCTTTAAAAGCCTTTGCAGCACTAGCCCCTGCTCTATTCAGAATAACTGATATATTAAATAGATTTACTCCTTCTTTTTTCAATACTTTTAAATATCGTGTTCTCTTGCCTTGCTGATCAAACCATAGGTCATATAAGTCTTTGAAGGCTTTTGCAGCGTTCGATCCTGCTCCATGAAGAATGCTGGACATATTGGACAGATCTATTCCTTCCTCTTCTAGAGTTTTTAAGTATTGTGTCTTATTCCCTTGCCCATCAAACCATAGATCATATAAGTCTTTAAAAGATTTTGCAGCATTGCATCCTGCTCTACTTGAAATGCTGGATACAGTGCTTATAGTTATTTCTTCTTTTTCCAGAGTTTTTAAATATCTTGTTTTATTTCCTTGTTCATCAAACCATAGATTATATAAGTCCTTAAAAGCTTTACAAGCTTTAGTCCTTGCTCCACTTAAAATACTGGACATATTCGACAGACTTATTCCTTCCTCTTCTAGAGTTTTCAAATATTGTGTCTTATTTCCTTGCTTATCAAAGCATAGGTCATAGAAGTCTTTAAAAGCTGTTGTAGCATTAGATCCTGTTGCATGAATAATGTTCGATATACTAGATAGATTTATTCCTTCTTTTTCTAGACTTTTTAAATATTCTGTCTTGTTTCCTTTTTTATCAAACCATAGATCACATAAGTCTTTAAAGGCTTTTGCAGCATTTATTCCTGATCCACTTGAAATACTGGACACAGTGCTCATAGTTATTCCTTCTCTTTCTAGAGATTTTAAATATCGTGTTTTGTTTCCTTGCTGATCCAACCATAGGTCATATAAGTCTTTGAAGGCTTTTGCAGCGTTCGATCCTGCTCCATGAAGAATGCTGGACATATTGGGCAGATTTATTCCTTCCTCTTGTAGAGTTTTCAAATATCGTGTTTTATTCCCTTGCCCATCAAACCATAGATCATATAAGTCTTTAAAAGCCTTTGTAGCATTCGATCCTGCCCCGTGCAAAATACTGGACACATTAGGTAGGTTTATTCCTTCTTTTTCTAGAGTTCTCAAATATTGTGTTTTATTGCCTTGCCCATCAAACCATAGATCATACAAACCCTTGAAAACTGTACAAGCATAAACTCCTGATGCACTTAAAATACTAGACATATTAGGCAGATTGATTCCTTCTTTTTCTAAAGTTTTTAAATATTGTGTTTTATTCCCTTGCTCATCAAACCATAGATTATATAAGTCTTGAAAAGACTTTGCAGCATTAGCTTTTGCTCCATTTAAGATACTAGACACACTAGTGAGATTTATTCCTTCTTCTGCTAGAGTTTTTAAATATTGTGTTTTATTTCCGTATTCATCAAACCATAGATCATACAAGTCTTTAAAAGCCTTTGTAGCGTTAGCTTTTGTTCCATTTAAAATACTAGACACACTAGTGAGATTTATTCCCTGCCTTTTCAGTATTTCTAGATATCTTCTTCCTTCCTCTTCAATTAAAAAATGTAAGAACTGGTTAAATGCAGGCGAGCCTTCTCTACCAGTCACACTTTTAGCAAATTTAATTTTTTCAATGTCCTTATTCCAAATTTCCTGATAACTAGACCTATTATTTTCTATATCTCCTAAAAGTCTTTCCATTAGTGCTTTAGTAATAGGACCAATTTGATGAGATTCTAACCAACGTAACGCTATTTCATGTAATTTTTCATAGTTATATGGAACTTTATTAGACTTATTATCTTTTTCTATTTCGTCTCTAATAATGTCAGTCAATTCTGCCTTATTAGGTTGACTAACTGCAAATATTAACTTGTCTAAAAACTTTTCTTTTATTTCTTTTTCATTCTCATTAGAAAATCTCACTTCTTCTTTTTCACTTTGCAAAGAAAGAGGAAACTTTAATAGGCTTAAAAGCTCTTCTCTTGTTGTTTCTTCTTGTGCAAATTGATAAAGGTTGTTCTCATTTATACACGAACAATTCCTTAAAATTTTGTACTTTTTCTTTCGAATATCGATACTATTAAATTTTAGAGGATAAAAATCTTCAGAGTGTCCTTTTCGTAAATAGTTTTTTTCTGTAAGACCTAGGCCCGCATTAGTATAGATAATAAAATATCTTACGTCCTTTTCTAATTCTTTAATGAAATGCATAAAATGCTTATTCATAGAAAACGTATTTTTCTTCTCCTGCTGTTTGGAAGGAAATAATTCATTATAATTAATATAACTATACGTATTATAAGCCTTTACGTAAGTAATTCTATCTTTATAATTGATAGAAATGGCATTAGATATACTATGACTTTTTCCTCCAAAATTTATGGAAAACATGTTTTTATCCAAGAACATGGAATGCAAGAAGGAAATTAGTAAATTTAATTCATATGTAATCCCAGTTATATAGTTGTCAAGTTTTTCATAATTTTCTGATTCCTTTAGTTCGCATAATACTTTTTGTTGTAATGCTATATAATCGTCTGGAAGTCCACTATTTCCTTTTATTTCACTTTTAACAATGCTGTTCAATTTTTCCCGATCAGGCTGATTAACTGCAAATACTAATTTATCTAAAAACGCTCCTTTCATTCCTCGTTCAAATTCCTGAGAAAATTGCCTTTCTTTTATTACTTTCTGCATACCAGACGAAAAATCTAATCGATTTAAAAGTTCTTCTCTTGTCGTTTTATCTCGAGAAAACTGATAAAAACCACTCTCTTGCGCGTTATCAGTTGTATAAAAAAAGTCTTTTAACACGTCACATTCCGCTATATTTATGCTATCAAATTGAAAAGGATAAAAATTTCTCGACCGTCCTTTTTTAAATTTCTTTCCTTCTGTAAGATCCATACCTGAATTAGTACACACAACAAGATATTTTATATCATTTGATAAACCATCTGATTTAGAGATTAGATGTTTGACAAAACTATTAAAGTAACTATTAATAGAAAAGCTTCGTCTTTCTTTGGTAAATAATTCAGCGTAACTAATATCATTATCTACATAATAGTTGTCCACATGTTTAATTTGTATATGAACGGAATTCTTTTCGTAACGGATGACAATATTATTGAACCTATCAATTTCGGAATCTTCAAATGCTAATGACAATGAAGGATATTTATGTTCATACATAGACTTTCTAAGTGAACAAAGTACTGAAAAGTCTAACGTATACATCAATCCAATCAAATGACGAGAAAGGCATTGCTTAGCTTGAAATCTATCATCCAATTTGTCTTGTCTAGGTTTATCCTGTAAATCATTACGAAATTCTGCATCCTTACACAGTCTTTTAAACACTACATCATCTTCATTCGTAACAGAACGTCTTCGTTTGCTAGAGTTAAGATGACCAGCTTCAGGGCTTTTCTTGGTTGAACTCCTTGAACGACTACTTTGTTCAGATGGGGTAGTTCTTGCATCTTGTAATGGCTTCGAGGGCTCTTCGCCTAACATAAAAAATATTCCAGGTTTTCATAAAAAGATAATAATTAAATTTATTTTTACTTATTAAGTAAGTTGAGTTTTATAACTCAATGTATGAGTCCAGAATATTATATATATATAATGTATCAAGCAATTGCAATAGTAGCTACAAATGAGCAGTCAGTATAATCCGATAACTTTATGCTGTTAACAGCCTGTTAGCATCACATTAATAAGCTAAAAATTCGGTTTATGGTTTTTGGAAGACACAATTTAATTCAGTCACGTGGCTTATGTATTTTACAGTTGAGACTAGTGCTGACAACCAACATTATGTTCATTATATCTAGGCTAGTATTGCCATTGTGCAGCAACGAGCGCGTGAAGTTTGAGGTAGTAGAATGTCGTTTCGCTATCTTGTTCATTAGGACGCGAAAGAACTCAGACGTGCGTACGTAGCATGTCTCACTAATTACCAATCATATTTGGTTTAGTTAATCAAGTTCCACTACGCAGTGATCGTGCAAGTGATATCGTAAAGCCAAATAGTTCGAACATTATCGCAAATCTAATTATTTAAAAAGAATCTAACGATTTCGTATTATTAGATTACGTTCGAGTTGATACCAGTCGGCATTCTGTGAAATAAATTCTTGAAATATGTTCTTGTTGTTCATTTACGAAAGAACGTTCTGAAAGGTGTGCCAGTGAGATATGAGTATGTGAATGTATATATTGGGTGAGTGATCGGATTTCTGGTATAGTATGTTTTGGCGAGTTGTGACGTTATATTGTGAGTCGTGTCGTTAAAATTATTGTTTAATAAGTAAAATATCCTCTTTTGTCGAATTTTCGTGCACATAAGGACGCTGAGTACACAGTTCTCAAGTTGATTCCCACATATGTATAAGAATTGTAAACATTCTGAAACAATTAAATAGTTACAGAATGAAGAGAGATGTCATCAGAAGCGCACTGAAGATGGATTTTACGATGTTGCCCCTACACCTGACCCTCGATTTACGCAAAAATCCGTTCCACGTGGGTTCGTTTTACGCGAACGAAAATCGCATAGAGCCTGTCGGTACAAGAGAAAACAAAATATGGAAGAGAAAAGCTGGTATAAGTTTTAGAAATACATATTTATTTCGCATAACTTAACAGAAGAAACAATAATGACATTTTAGAAAACAAAAGTATATTTTATTCGTAGTTACTAAATTCAGATCGCGTAAATTGAGATCGCGCGTGAAAACTACCGACTAAATAGTGTTCCAATTTACCGCGTAAATCAAGTGTTAGGTGTAATTTGGAGCAACCTTGTCGTAGGATAACTATTCGGTGCGATGTTAATCTTAGCTCCAAAACTGTATGCTCTGAGAACAAAAATCGCTGGTGACATAAGAATGGGAGAAATATTGGGACATGACCGATATTTGGAGATGTAAAACATCACCGACAATCTTGAATTACAGGAGATGGCGCGTATGACCCAACAGGATCTAGAAGGCGACAGCGGAATTCTCCTACGTGAGTTGTGAATAACATTTTGTACATTAGTTGGGATCGCCACCCTCATCACCACTTGTTGTGTAATGTAGTAGTTGTGTAGGTTTGCGCTGACATTACCTTCATTGGTCGTGCCATAGATTGCCAAGGAAAAGTCGTTAACAGCCATTCGGAGATACTGCCTGTTCGCGGGTAACCAGGCTGTTGTACTGGACTGTGGCTTTTGGTCCTTTCGCCTGGTGTGTGATATCACCTTGTCGTGGCTTGGGGGTCTCGCACGCGCTAAGATACCACTTATCTTTCGTTCGAAACCGTTAGTTGTGTACGCACATTACCGTCGCTTGATAACGTAGATAACTGTTTTACCAATGATCAGAAAAGAGAAAAGACGTACTGGCTATAAATACTTCCCAACGCGGGAAAAGGCGCGTTTACTTCTGCAGCTAACTAAGGCCGAAAACAGGGAACGGAAGTGTAAGTAGAACAACGACACCGGTTTCAGTTTTCACTTCACCTTCACCTCAGTGTCAAAAAGGAAGCATCCCTTGTTCACCCACGCCGAGGGAAGAGCATCCCTCGATCACTTGGCAGCAAGCTAGAGCAGGAGAAACACGTCCAGACAGGAATACGGTCATACTAGTCTACAGCAATTTCTTTGTTACTAGATTTCATAAGTCTTATTGTTGCCATAGTAACACTATTCCTACCATGACCAGTCAAATGACCGTTTTTAAAAGTTCGATTAGAATTTCCTATATACAACGTAACTGAATCGCCTTTAAACTTCACGACTTTTCCTCAAATATATGTGTAATACATTCTTCAATATCCACTTCTTTTTTTATTGTTTATTTTCTGAGAAAAATTTGTAGTCTGTCTTATTCTCTCAAAGATTCAATTCCGAAATTATAAAGTCGTTACAAATGAAACGTAATGCAGTTGTGACATGATTTTAGTCGAAAAGTGCCTTTCAGGGACTGCTTTACGGCACTTCCGAGTGTTTACAGTTCTTGCTCGCCTATCGGCCTTGGTAAAATCGGTAAAATCTAAATGTCGGAGATGGCCTTTACAGGTATTTTTCAGTATCCTAGACATAGCTGGGACAAATACATGGGTTTTATATAATGAAACCACAGGAGAAGAAATTTCGAGACAAGAATTTTTATTTCAATTGGCAGAAGAACTTGCCATCGCATATCAAAAAGTGCTACAGCTAGGCAAAGAAGATCAATCAACACCCGTCCCAAATACAAGTACAGGTTCACGTAAACGGAAAACATGCCAGATAAGATATTGCAAAGACAATAAGACTAACAAAATCTGTCTAAAATGTAAAAAGTACGTATGTAAAAAATGTACAATCGAGAAGCCTATTTGTAAAAAATGCGGTGGAAACGAATAAAATGTACATTATATACTTCTGAATAAAAGAAACTGTATGTTTATACTGTCAAATTGGCTATTATCTTCATTCTATATTAAAAAATATAAGTTGTGCTAAAGACCGGTCATTTGACCGGTCGCGGTAGGAATAGGTATACGTGAAGTGTCTGTAGGAATAATGTTAAACATATATTGAATCGTTACAACTGGAGTTAGTACATTCGACCTCTTACTAAATATTCTTGAGCGCCGAATACGTCGATAAAATAGAACCCACAGTCAACGTGGTAGGGCCGTCATCTTAACGGAGTATATAGCAAGGACTATCTCCGCTGTTACGACAGTTGGGATCAATATGTCGAAGTTTCTCACACGTCCATGGGATAGATCGTTCTCAGTGGTCCCACAATCGCATCAGTGAACCACTCTACAACCCCCCGGAATGGTTCACTGACTCCGGTAGGGGTGCCTCGATCTGGTTCGCGACGAACAAATTTCGAAAAGGGGCGAAGAAGATCGTAATGTACTATGGAGTGGTGGTGATGAGTGCGAGCGGTATACTCATTATCTCGTGCTATCTGCTGCCCAGCCTGCCCATGGAAGTATACAAAAGGAGACTGGAAGATGTAGCCACAACCATCCGGCTTATTAGGCTTCCGGTGATCGTTATTGGCGACTTTAACGCCAAATCGCCGATGTGGGGGTCGCGCACTCTGGACGAAAAAGGCGCTGCATTGGAAAAGTGGGCACAAGAAATGAATCTCGTGCCACTGAAATTGACGGAAAGGTATACGTTTGAAAGAAATGGACGTACCTCAACTATATTGTATAAAATTATCTCACATTGCTCTATGAAGTAAATAAAGGTAAAATAAAGGTGGTAGGGGCTATCAGTAGCCACCTATAGTGGACAAGGGACATATGTAGGTATAAGTGCTGTCTATGTATGTGAACATAAACGTATGTGTAAGTGCTAAATAGTAAGAACAGAAGGTACAAGTAATGGGCACGTACGTTGCATGCATAAGCATATGCATGTACGTATGCATGTATGTTACGTGTGCATGTATATATTTATGCGCGTGTGTATGAATGGGTTGCTAAAGCGGTGGGACGTAAGTAATACGTTAGCAGTCCTTCGAGCCCACTGTGACCAATTAGAAGAAGACAACGTGAGGTGGGTTTAGTGGGTATAGGGCGGTATTGCACGCCAGGGCCTAAAAACTCTGGTCAAAACCGTCGAGTCCCACACTCCCCGGGCATTGCACTGAAAGCTCCCCGGCCCGGGGGTACGTAAATGCATTCCCCCTCACGAACCCCTTTGTGGGTTGGGAGCGGAAAAAAAGTTGATAAAGTTCACCAGATTTTATATAGTTTAAATTTTACCAAGGAATGTTTAAAATGGTACAAAAAATTTTTCTTTCATCTATCGGATTTAGCTGTATATAATACATTTATTTTATACAAGTATCTAACTGGCAGTAACCTATCCTTTGCTAAATTTCATTTACATTTAACAAAACAAATTTTACACAAGTACCGCGCAGGTAGAATATGTGGATATAAATCAATAGGTGGAACTCGTAATAATCTGCCTTTTCGCTTAATACAAAGACATTTTCCGTCTCCGTACATATAAAATGCAACGATTTGAAAAAAACGCAAGACGCAAATGTGTAGTGTGTCAAAAATACAACAAAAGACGTGAGACACATTACCAATGTAAGAAATGTGATGTAGGATTATGTATTTATCCGTGTTTCAAATTATATCACATTTTATTAGATTATTAAATATCTTGTGAAAAACTTTACATTAATATTAAATTTTTAATATTTATACTAATTCGGTTCAAAGAAATGATTAATATTGTTTTTATGTAGTGAAATTCAGTTTTTTGATTATTGAAATATGTTTTCACAAAAATGCATCCCTACCCAAAGTTAGACGTTCTGAGTGCATATCGTAACTCAATTCCTGCTGTATCGTATGGCCACTAGGCATCAAAGTCTGCCGTAGTCAAGGGGTTAATAGATGAATTTTCTTTTGAGATTCCAAAGAAAAGATAATTCTATAACCTGGTTTTACCGATACTCATTGCTCTTTATCATCAATAATAATCCCAATTCCA